AGATAGATAGATAGATAGATAGATAGATAGATAGATAGATAGATAGATAGATAGACAGACATATAGATAGATAGGCTTGAGCCATCAGCGGGCGATGACACCTCCCTCTCCGCCATGTTTGCCTTGTGTCACCCCCCACACTCTAACAGCCCTTAGCAACGCATGCGTTCACACCGACTATCTTCTCCCGTAACTGCCTCCCGCATCTATTAGAGAAATTCTCAAGTTGGTTGCCAAATAGCGAAGCTCGCTGACGATCCAACGAAGCCAGAGACCAAATAATTCAGGATCGCATACCGCAGACGTGGAAAATGGGACAGAGTGGACAATGGTAGTAAAATCGTCACTGTCGTCATTACTAACATCATCGAAGAAAAGGTTTAGAAAAAAGGGAGAGTCTTGAATAATTCTCGAGCTGTGAATATGAATAAAACTTCTTTTTGAGCTGCACACTTTGACTCAAAGGCTTTCTCAGGAGCAACTGGGGGCTACAACACCATCATCATCATCATCATCATCATCATCATCATCACCATCATCATCATCATCATCATCATCATCATCATCATCATCATCATCATCATCAACAACATCAAACATATGTTTGAATGTCCAGGAACAATGGCAGTTCGAATAGAGTTATTTGGGCGAGCAGAGGTTCCTCTAAGTACTTTGACAATGGAGCCGAAAAAGAGCCTCGCTCTCGCTCGGAGATTTCTTCGTGGAGTCCACCAGGCCTATTAAGGAAACAAAAAAATATCATCATCACCATCGTCGTCGTTGTCGTCGTAATCGTCATCATCATCAGCATCTTCTAAAGGGCTCACTGCAAGCTCAGTCTCTTTAACAAGGAAGTATACTCCGTACGACCAAGACCAAGGCATCCACGCACAAGCGTTTTGAAAATCGAGGCTCTCTTGAGAAGTTTTTAGCAGCTCTCTACCTACTAAGCTTAGTCCCGTTTGCATGATAACAGTTATTGTTGTTGCTGTTGTTGTTTATTCTGATGCTGTTGTTGTTTATTCTGATGCTGTTGTTTGTGCGAGTATTTGGGGTGAGATACAATGCAAAAGCAGCTAAGCCATGTTTTCGTTTCTCCAGGAAGCAGAATTAGACAAAAGCAACACAGGAAAGATGTAGAGGGCGCAGACCACACAGCAGCGTCCACCACAGGTCAGAATGTATGTTATGCAAAACCAGTAGCAATGTTGC